TATATATATATATATATAATGGTTAGGCTTCGCAAAGGAAGATTCTATCTACGCTAGCTATAAACGTTATAGGACTGCGCAGTGGATTATTGAGGCACAGCGTTCGCGGGAGTAGCCTACCCTTCATATCCGTCAGTGCTTAGCGAGCTAGAACGGTAACGGCGAAGTCTTTAGGACGTAGGTTTTGTTATAGTCATTCTATTAGATGGATGGCCTTGTAGGGTTAAGTGAGTCGCATCTGTTCAAGTTTGGAGCTAAGTTTTCCTTCTCTTAGGATGGTTGGGTGGTTAGGGAATTCATACTGTTTGTAGATACACTTTGTCTGACCGTTTAGTTGAGATTTATCTGGCATGGGCAGTCCTACCGGAGAAGTATACCACCACCAGCATAGCTCGCATCCTTAGAAGGGCACGCAAGCTTCTCCATCGCGATAAGGGGTTGTTCATGGAGAGGTCATCTATGTATATATTTTATATATATGTATATATTCTATATATATATATATATATATATATGTCTTATTTTCCGAATTTCTTACATTAAACAATGTTCAATATATTCATATCCAAATATCTATATAAATTTGCATAAAAATAATGTATGTTGCTGGTATCACATTATTTAGTGACAAATTTTTTATGAGGGATATTAAGGCAGGAAATACTTTGCAGTAATTTAGTATAATGTTTTAACAATGCAAGGGATTATCTTGGAAGGTGTATGCATTTATAGTTAAGGTCTCTGAAATGCCGTTTCTTGGAAATTTCTTTCGTGCGCAAGAAGGACGTGAAAACCTAGAGAATGAGAACAGATAAAATTTAGATTGCTTTATGGGGAAGCATTGCTTACTCTGTTAAGTGATCAAATTTGATAAAACTCTTTTGGTAATTCATAATGTTTGACCGGACAAAAACAACATGTGAGTAAAGGATTTGAAGACCCATAAATATACGGAAAGGTAAAGCTAGACATATTAAAAGCTCCTGATGATTGTATAATAGCTAGAGACGTGTTGGAAGTATGGTGCCTGTAACAAAATAAGCACTAGCTGATTAGCAGGAATGAGAAGCTATTCAAAAAACTCAACGGTAGAAAAACTCATATTGAACGGAACTGAGCCTTCGTTTGGCGGAATGTTATAAGTACTGCAAATAACCCAGCGAAAGATATTTAGGAAGAATCTGTGACTGGCATCATATACAGCATGTACTTCTTGTCTGAAATTCTTCATAAACAGACCAATGCATGAAATGACTAAATTGCTGTATATTTCAATAATTTTTAATAAGTCAAAATCATTTTGCTGACGATTTGGTGGTAATGTCAATGATACTAAGATACATGGCCAAGATCCTGTGGCTAGGCTATTTCATTGAAGCTTATCAAATTATTATTTTTGTGTTATAGCCATTTTCTTGATAGTATCTCTTCAGTTTGTTCCAAATTCCCGTAGTTTGAGAAGTTCCATACTCATTCTTCATTCTTCTTATCTTGAGATCGATGAGATGTTTCATGCTAGATTTTCAAGTGAGGTGAATGAATCATTTCACCATCAAATAAATATGAAATTATAATCAATTTTTTGCTCAGCTATCGAAAAATATTTCAAAGTACTATATTGATGACACATAGCATAGGGATCAAATAATTGCCTTTTCATGATGTGAAAGTATCAGAGAAAGCCTCATGCCATGGTGGTAGACGTTAATTCCCGAGTCTTAATGCATTCAAATGCCGTTCTTATTGAACAAAATGGAGATTGTTGTTTGTGTTGTAAGGAATAATGTAGCAAGATGCACATGAAACAACTATGTATTGATCAAGTATGCCAAAATCAAGCCAGGCTTATTGCATCAGGAATTAGAAATACCATGTGTAAGCAATTGGAGGGCGAAGAAATGCATACTAACTGCTTCTCCGGATCTTCTTCATTTTACCAGCAATTATAATTCGATTTGAAGGTATGAAATGTTTTGAGGGATACGGGTAATTTAAAAATTGAAATGGAGAGGTGAATAAGAGACTTACCAAAAGAATGCTAAAGAAAAGTGTCGTGAAGAAGTAAATTGTTGGGAGATACGTGACAGAGAGGGAAGGAAGACCTTTAGGACATCTGGAAACTTGAATGCTTTGCATGAAAATGTGCATAATATCACCATAAGGAATGATTGGATTTTATGCACAATTCAATGCTAAGCACTGAAGTATGGTACAGCGGTGTCATGCTGAACAGAGACACGCCAACAGTGTCATCACTTGCAAACATATAACGGACTGCTTGCTTGCTTGCTTCCTTGTAGCACTTCAATCTCCCTCCTCCCTTCTTTATGCTTCCTATACAAACCAAAAGCAGCCCTACTCACTCTTATCTTATCAGTTCCACCAGTGTCGTCCTTGTGTATTACCAACAGATAACTGTCGTCTTTCAATGCTTACAAATCTGTAATTCCTTTTCCTTTCCTAATCATTACTGCTAAAAACCTCGTGAACTAATAACATTTGGAATATTTGCATGGCAAAAGGACTCTCTTAAACTACCATTCATATCTTCTTCATTTCTACCTAATTCAGATAATCTTAAATAGAAAGGAAACACTTCACGTCATAACTTGTTAGTTTCATTATTTTTCAGCTTTTTCGAAACATCGGTATAAAAGATACAAACAAGTGACTCCGACTGCCATGCAATGCCAAGTATGCTCAAATTAAAAAATTATTTCAATCTTGGAAATTCATTTTTTTTCTGTGACCGTCTCCTTATAACATCATGTCTACATCACATATTTCACACAGGATTGTGTCACTTTCGTCATAATATATAAACGTACACATTGCCTCTGTTGGTGAATTTTATTTCAATCATTCGCGAGCGAAAACAAATATTTACAGAGGATCATCCGCCAATGAAAAAATACCAATTCCTTCAAAAAGCGCTGCCCAGGACTAGCATTTCATCAATCAAAAAATGAATGACTGGACCAACAGTTAGTGCTCAAAAAAACACTATTTTATATAATAGCAATGAAAAATTATGGTAACCAAAATCACAAATCAAATGCAGAAGCTTCTATTTGATCAATTATACCAAATTGCTTGGCTTCTTCCGGACTCATATATCTATCACGATCTAATGCTTCCTCAATTATTTTGATATCCTGTCCTGCAAACATGATAAAAGAAGACAGAAAAAGCTTATAGATACTCACTGTATAACAAAATTAGTCTTAACTGTTCTTCGAATTCCTATTCAAAAAACTTTGCAAGCAGTAATTATGAAAACAAAACGAATTTAAGTCTCACCCACTAATCATATAAAGTCAGTTTTAAAATCAAGCAGTGTCGCTACTCTCAATAGAAAAACAAGTTTCTTTTACCGGAATGTATAGTTACATATGTTAAGCAAGCTTTTTACCTGTGTGGATTGCATAAATTTTGTTCAGCCGTGTTTTGAGCCTACCAATCTCTTCGGCTCTAATCAAAATATCAGATGCTTGGCCCTTTAAAAAAAACAGTAGAAAAATTCGTAACCCAATATGGGCCATCAAACAGTTAAATTCCAGAGATTACTGAAGTTGCAAATGAATTATGGACAAATACGGCTGCGATATGGGGAATCTAAACCAAGTAGTAAATGTATACCTCAGCACCACCACTTGGTTGATGAACCATTATGCGAGCATTGGGCAACGATGTGCGCATCCCTTTCGCACCGGCAGAGAGCAGAAGACTACCCATGCTTGCAGCCTAGAATTTCAAGGATTGATCATTGAATAATCAGCTCTTTGGTTCGAGTAAATGCGAATAGAAAATCAAAAAAGAGAAAGAAACAGTGATGGCTTATTAAAGACAAATGAAAGGTGCAGCTTATTAGTTGGTTGTTACAAACCAGTCACCTGACCAATACACCAAGTTGCTACTGGAGCACTGATATACTGCATCGTGTCATAAATACCTAAGCCGGCAGTCACGCTGCCACCTGAAAATGAATTTTCTAAGCAGTGAATCATTATAAAATAAAACTAGAAAGGGGAGAAAACAGAAGGTAACAAATGCAAAAAGATCTACTTACCAGGACACATTATATACATATTAATAGTACTTTTCGCACTTTCACCTTGTAGAAAGAGAAGCTGTGCAATAACGGAAGCAGCCACCTGATCATTTATCTTAAAAAAAAAAAGAAAAAACGGCATGTTTGTATAACTCGAAAACAGGTGCTCTTCTCGTCTAACAAGATATCATCATTGCACTGCGCTTTAAAAATTACATGACTAATTAGTCTATAAAGAAATAATAAAAATGAAACTATCATCCAGCATTTGGTGTGATGTAATAAGAATACATACAAATGAAGAATGAATTATAATAGCCAACAAACCGGTGTCATAACGCAAACAATACGATCTTTGAGCAGCCGTGAATAAATGTCATAAACTCTTTCAACACGACCATCCTGATCGACTACCATTGGTATCGTCTGCTGCCTTAGTAACGAGCTATGCAATTGTCGATGAGAAAATAACTGTCGAATAAACGATAATCCTCTCATCCTGAAATTTTTTTCGCCTGATATAACAAAAGAAGATATCGCTTTCCAAACAGGAAAGCGATATCTTTTCTTATCGAAATAGCTTCTGCTGAAACAGAGTTTTCTTCAGAACTGTGACTTAAGAAAGAGAGCATGATGATTCCCGTTTGTGAGATGCAGGGAGGAGAATTTACATGAATAACCTAGCCGATCAATGATGGAAAGGGGTCCTTTCCCATATGCTATGAGCCCCTCAAAAATGTTATATTACGTACTATGCGCGACTGAGACTATAAGACTATGCGATCGCAAATATATAAAAAAAAGAGAAAAAAAAGTTTCAGTATTTCAGGAATACTGGAGAAGCTACCAAACGATAAATAGAGAACGACTGGGTAACCACTCTTTTTTTTACTTGTGTACAAATTGGAAATCATATTAGGAAAGTTCTGCTTTTGCATTTCTGCGCCAATATACTAGATTTCGGGAGAAGGATCAGGGAAAGAAGATGAAGTGCAAAACCAACAAATTCTTCTATTCTTTTCTTTAACAAAAGCTATCACATCTTCTGAAACTAAACGATTTCGAAGTTGCGGTTGTTTAAATTCTTTTTTCTGTAAAAGCCAACAAAGTCCACACCTCCAATTTGCTACCAGTCATTATCAGTCCCAACCCAAAGCCCTATCTAATTCTAAGTGACCGCCACTGACCACTTTATTTCTATTTTTCCCAAAGACTCTACATTGGTGACCAACTGTCCAAACGGACAATACAAAATAACAAGATAGGCTAACACCAGTCCACTGAATAGTGTTATTAAATCATTTCATTGCGGAAATCAAATTTAGTTTGCATAAATCTACCACTTTTTGTATAACATCACCCAAATTTAGGGAATAATCATTTTTAATACCCCAGAAATCAAAAAGATCACGAAAAAGGCGATAATAAGGTGATAATACATTTGATGGGAACAATTGAAAATACAATAACCAAGCCGTGAATTATTCATTGCAAGAAAATTAGTTTTGCTTCATTGACCATAAAAGAGACAATTATTATTTTATCTCTATATATATTCTTCAAACAAATTATTAATCTATCAGAGCTAAGCAAACAAAACAAATATTCTCAATTTACAAGCTAAAGAGAATTCTTCCGAACAGATGTAAACCACCTTAGTAAAGAGATTTATTCTGAAATTGTGATATTACTTCGAAAACGACCACTTTTAAGGTAATTTTTTTGGCGAAAACAAAACCGCTGAAAAATCGACTCGTCAAATCACAAATTAAAATATATCAACATGGAATGACAAGTGTGAAAAGAAACATTAAATTATTAAGAATCAACGGAAATCATCCGGATTGAACAATCCTCTGGCTCGGCTCATTATACTATCCTGAAAAAAGTGTGTTTGCTACTTGTGAAAAACGTAGCAAGATTCAAGACATCCAAAACGACGTCAAGAAAATCAATTCGACATACATTTATTAGAACCGAGCACTTGAAAAAAGACTTTAACATTAAGTGCCAGATGAATTTTTATTCGAAGAACGAAGTATATAAATGAAATTTGAAACTATTTTTGGCTTGTATAAAAGTGGAAATGAACACAGACCAATGCTTTAGTAGACAACAAAGATTCGAAATGCTTAACATAATTTTTCAACGTTAGTCACTAAGATTTATCTATATAAAACAAATTCTAAAGCTCAGACGAGAAGTGAACTATGCCACTTCCAATTGTGAACTAATTTTAAAGGAAAATATAAAGAGTAAAATGCCAAAAATAACCTTAGTTGGGTCATAAGGAGCTTCCTTCGATGGAATCTCCAATACGGCCGGTATACTGGCAGTATATTCATCAACAGCAAAACGTATTTGTTCAGCAATGTGTTGATTGATCAGAATTATCGCAATATCATCACGTGAACAAAAATCTCTGAATGCTTCCTCTATCTCATTAACTGTCGTATTTTTATCCACAATTAAATAATTTGGTCGCCGAGCCTAAAATGAAAAGTATACCATTTTGGCTTAGAAGCTGAAATGATCAAGCACAATCATCAAATCAAGCTTGGCTTTCTCAATAAACTATGCATTTATACTGACCAAATTCTTAGTAGTGATATGAAAGAAATGCGAAATGAACCTTATTAAGTTCACCTATTCCACCAAGAAGAAATCCAACCACAGTATCTTCGTCGCCTATCACCGCAATAATTTTCCCCTTTTGAGCAGAATGAGCCATCTGAAACATTATTTTCAAACTATCTTCTTTTGAATAGCAAAACCAGCACCTTGCACACACAACACATCACCCCAATTACCAACCAAACACTGGGTGATCTCGAGATGGAACAAAAGATCGGAGGTCGAGTAGCCAAAAACCAAAAAGCGAGAACGAACGTGCATTATCACATTTTCGTTTACTTCTCTCTTCTCCTTTGTTTGTCATTCACATTGCAAACAAATGACGCATAAATATACGAGGTAGTTATTGGAAATAAAATAAGCTTTAGAATATTCTCATTGAAATTGAGAAGTATCTCTCTAACACTGTCCTTTTTCAACTTTCAACTTTCAACTGTCCCTTATCACATGGCATTCATTCTTTTTCCATATTTTCATCTTTATCATCCTATCGAGCATTTTAACAACCGTACAAATCGCATTCGCGAAACGCAGAAAGTGTTTTATCCCCTCTACAACGTTGTTTTTCTGGTATCTTTTTCCTAGCTACAGGCAGGTTTTTTAAGATTAATAAGAGTTTATATTTTAAATTTCATGATAGCCACAATTTTGTTTATAATATCAGAATTAGGTGATATGAATGGCACGAATACGGTAAGGATTGATCACAATAAGAAGCAAATGAAGGGTTTTGAGCGATGCTATGTTTTCTAGAAAAACGGAATAGAGAATGAAATAGTTTCTGATTGAGGATACAATATCATTGTTATAGCTCTGAAAACGCAGTAGAGATTGATAAAGGCTGCTAGGCATAAGTATCAGGATAAATTGAAGATGTTATACAGCGGATATTTTGGAAGATAAAAGTGAAAATGTGATTATATTCTGTTCAGGCTGAGTGGTTTGTTGGTTATATTTCAGGTATATTGTCAACAATGACTTCCACTTCTGCTAGCAAGTCATTAGTTGAAACAGATTGTACGCACCACAATCCCTTAGTAGATTTGTCAAGAAGAGTTATTGAAGGGAGTCTGGATGACGACTTTGAAAAAACCTGGAATCAGTTTTTGACCGGGAATTCAAAGCCTCGAAACGTAAGTATTGTCGATAAAGCTTAATTTATTCTAATCACATTGATGGAAGGTACTTCCTTATTTGATTCGTCAGCATGGATTCGGTCATGTCTGAGGACTGGTTCTAAAAATACTTATTCCAGTTCGACCTATCCGTATGCACGTCGTTCTGTTATCTTTCAATCTGAGAAGTTCTGTGGTACATTTGACTCTAAGTCTGGTACAATTGATTGCTTAGTTGAAATTTTCTTTGACTTTAGCTACACGATGAGTACCTGATAAGTGTTACAATGTCTACCGCAGTTCCCAAAACAACCAATCTGTACGAATTGGCTGGTCAGATGGATCAGATGGACTCTACACAAGACCTGGCTGAATCGTGGGCTGAGGAATACATAGCGGAGGAGCAACAATCCAAGAATTTAATTAAACATTGGGCTGATAAAGCAGAACAGCAAGCCAGTTATTTACCAGAGCAGTGGGCAAAGGAGTTTTTTGGTTTAAACTTTCGTGAGCAGGAAGCTGAATATAAAAGCGAAACCAAGTATGTTACCAACATGGATCTCACGTTCTAAGAGTTGGAAGAGGACGGATACCTAACGCAGCTGTCTCAAACCTTGCCTATGTTAATAGTATTTTTGCAATAAAAATAAATCCTGGAAGTATTTTTCAGAAATTTTTAAAAGTATTGCAGGGATGGATCTGAGATGTGGGCCACTGAATTTCTTAACGAATTCGATCAAAAATCTCAGATGAACAAAGGACTTGCATCTGAGGCTAATTTTTGCACTATAAAGTTTAGTTGGTAAGAAAATAAAAAACATAGGGCCGCTTGACTGTCGATTAGTTAATTAATTAATTGGCTAAAGATGCTGTTTTTTCAGGACACGATCTTTATTTCTGCTATGGGAACTGAAACAAATGCTAAAACAATTGCGGAAAGGTAATGTCTCAATTATTTGCTCTTTGACTCACTGTAATTTGTGCTGATTCTCCGAGTGGTGACATCTGTATGAGATGTTTCGAGGATATAAAAAAAGTCTATACGATGCGTTAAAATGCGTGTCACGTTGTACTGGATTACGAAACAAACCAAACCGTAACGGATACTGTTGATCGTTATTGTTTGTTTAAATAAAATCGTTTTTAAAAAAAATTGTTGAGACAGAATAAAAACTTCCGATAAATATTTCGTTTCAGGACACCCTTTGATGAGATGTATGTTTTCGAAAGCAATAATCCTTACCTCAGAGAAGCGGATGCATTCGAAAAAGGACAACAGGCGCTGAATGCTGGACTGATAGTTGATGCCATTTTATATTTTGAGGCTGCTGTGCAGCAGAATCAGGAGAATTTTGAAGTTTGTTTATTTTTCTCTTATTAGAAGTAGTTTATAACTGTGATGGAATACTTGGTGGTGATTTAATAAACGAGATCTTTGGTGCTTCATAGGAATCGCCATAAGGAACTTGTGCCCACCAGTGATATACAAGTCTTTTTTGTTTTATTAAGGCATTCAAATCTATTTTCTGTTTGTAGCTGTCTTTAATGTTTCAGAAAGTTTTTGATTAACAGGGCTGGTTGCTGCTTGGAAATTGCCAAACTGAGAACGAAAGTGATAGACAGGCAATCGCTGCATACAAAAAAGCTTTGAATTTACAGCCAGAACAAAAAAAAGTAATTTTTAGTATCTTTGAAATAGAAATTTACGATCCATGTACCAGCAGATTATTCCATGTTTAGGAACATAACATATACATTAGCGTATGAAATATAAAATTAGGTTTAATGCTCTAAACTGTATTATTCTTTATCGGACGATATTTGATACTGTGCTGCCGGCGAGTTAATTTAAATAGAGTAGCCATTTGTAATGGCGAAGCATGGGAATGTTTATCACAAAATCACTGTTTCATATCTTTTTTTTTTTGGATGTGTAACTGGTTTGTGAGGAATACAATTAAAACAAATCATATAATTCTTACTTCTACATGTTTTATTATCATGCATGTTTTATTACCCAAAATTTTAATAGACGCATTCATGTATGTTTTTTTCCTCCTAATTCCCTTTTTGACTTCGCTTTTAATTTACTCTTAATAACTGGAGCACACATTTCTTTTGACGTACTCTCCTCATTTTGTAGATACAACTTGCTCTTGCCACAGTTTACATTAACGAATGTATGGAATTAGAAGCACTGGATGTATTGAAGCAGTGGATTATGTCTCATATGGATGGTGATTCAAATCCTTTGGAATTCAGAACTACTCCCAGCAATCTAATTGAGGACCTTACCATTCGGACGCAACAGGTTATCTAAAGTTATAATTTCCTGTCAGGTTCTTGATGAGTTAGTATTGTTAAAATGTCAGTAAAACTGAGAAAGATAAATAAAATACTTAATTACATTTGTCAGAAAGGGTTGGATGATTTCATTTGGTTTGTAATGCCATGCGTGAAAGTGCCATCACTTTTTGTTGCGGCTGATCAGTTAAATGACCATCAGTCAGATGACCATCAGTTAAATAGGACTTAGTAGAAAAGCTAAACTCATAGGAAAGTTATTGGAGTTATTTTCCAAGGATCCATCTAAGTAACCGAAGTAATAGCTAACATGAATCATTAGTAAGCTTTGTTTCCAATAACATAATGTTCAGGTAGAAGAACTAATCCAAAAAGTGCTTTCAAATGCGGAAACAACTGAGGAAGCAACATTTCACAATGCACTAAGTCTGGTCTACAACATTAAGGGCGATTATAATCGAGCTGCTAGAGAAGTAAAGTTGGCGCTTATGTACAATCCGAAGGTTTGTATAATATCGACATAACATGGAAATATTTTTTCAGATTTTCAAAAATTTTCGAAATTTTAAGCTTTATTGCTTCAGAACGCTAAAAATGATTTGAAATTCCAGAAGTGATCAGGCTATGTAGTCAATGTAGTCATGAGTGCAGCGTATCTCATGTCGGTGGTTTGGCTGCCGATCGACTTGATCACATTTGAGCTGATCGAAAGATCCTAACTTGCATCAGTCCCAGCCTATCTATTGATTAGGCTGTCGGTGGTTCATCTGAGCTTTGATGGAGATTAATAATCGACAAAACATATTTAAAGGAAACATCTTATGATACAATAATATTTATTGCACACATAAATTTCCGAACGGTTGCTTCAAAACAAAGATAAATCTGTTCGAAGTGTTTTTAGGACTACGTACTTTGGAACCGTTTGGGGGCAACATTGGCAAATGGTAAACGCGCTGCGGAAGCAGTTGCTGCCTATCGCGAGGCTCTCAAGATCTGTCCAAACTATCCACGTGCTCGTTGTAATCTGGGCATCGCTTGCATTCAATTGCAGAACTACAAGTGTGTATGCTTCATTTCTTCCTGTTGCTCTTATTTTCGTGATTAATTTTGGTTGGATTTTAAATTGAAATCCATTCAAGTTCCTTGAAATGAACGGGACTGTGTTGAAGTAATCTTCATAACGTGTTCAATCCTTTTTTTTACCTATTCAGAGCTATCAGATAGATTTGTCAGAAAGTGATCTTTCAGCGAATTTCAGTGAGCTTTTTGGATGTTCTAATATTTCTTATCTTTGTTTGCCCTTGTCGGTTGTAATTTTTTTTACCTTTCCTGATTTGTTAGTTACTATCAGTTTTTTAATCCATTTATATCAAATGCAATCAAAATCTAAAGTGATTTTATTCTTTTCTTTTACTTTACCGCAAATTTCAGAGAAGCAATCCAACATTTTATTACGGCTCTTCAGTTGCAGCAGTCTTGTAGCTCTATTTCATCGTCCACAATTTGGACGCCTTTACGCGCAGCTGTTGTTCGAAGTTGTTTGCCCTATGCATTGGATTTGCTAACAGCTGTCAATGAGCAAGATTTGAAGAAGTGTATTTATTTTCTGAATTGATTTATTACGAACTGTCCAACAGTAGTAAGCAATTAGTCGAATAGAAACTGTGATTACTTGAATTTTCGATTTATCCATCTTAAAGTTCCAATTCCTGTCTTTTTGATTTCACTTCTGTTTCAATTTTCTCCAAACTTTTGCAGTGATGATATATCTTTTCTTGTTTATGCCATTTATTTCATGTATTCCACTGATATCTGACCATTCAGTGATTCCAATGTTCGATAACTCTAGGAACAAACCAAACTATCCTACTTCGACATCTCTTTATGATAAAAATGTTGTTATAGAAGGGTGGGGTACTTCACCGCCTCATAAAGTTGTCGGCACGGTAATTCTCACTCCAAATGCGGTGCGTGAAGCTAAGGAAAAAGTTATCTCCACCATCAAAGAATGTGATATAGTATATAGTAGTAGCGATAATGGGAAAGATGAGCTTTACATGCATGGAATAGATGAACAGCCTGAAGAATCTGACAGTACCTCCAGTTCCAAACGTGACGAAATCAACGAAATGAATAGCAATTCTGAAGAGATGATTTCGAATCGTAAAACGCATGCGGGAAACAGCATAACTAACCATAACTCTTCAGCATGTTATTTTTTCAACAGTTATACGAATTCAACAATTACAATTACATTAGAATCCACAATCTCTACATCCAGTACTGTGAATGATACTTTAAAGAAAATTTCGAACAAATTAGACCACGAAAAATTTGCGTCAGATTTGCGAATTATCGATATAATGGGAATTTTCAACATTTTAGCTACGTTCATAGAGCCTACTTTATCTTCCGATGTGACTAGCACAACCCACTATTCTTCACTATCAGATAATTCTACATTCAGAAATGCAAATGATGAATTTTCCAATGTGGATACGCAATCTGATACACATGTTACGGGGAAGACATTGGATAGAAGTTTTTCACAATTACATCGGAGTGAGGGCCAATTGGAAATAAGCCGTATGAAAGGAAGGGGAGAGCATACAGACGACGAACATTCTGGCGAGAATATAAACATTAATAATTATGGAGTTGTCAAGGGTGAGCGAGATTATAAGAATTTTGAAAAAAACTCAAAATTAAATCCACAAATGATACCCAGGTCTGACATCGCCAAAAGCGGTATCAATGAGGAAAACAAAATGATAAGTAATTGTGGCATTGATCATATTGGTACTTCGAAGAAAGATTCGGGACAGCTGAAGTCGTCAAATTGCGAAACAGTGGATGAAACGAAGATTTGGGAGCCACGAGATGTAGCGTATGAAAAATACGACGACAAAGATGAAAAACATGGCAAATCTGTTGTTCTGGTACATTTTGAGAGAACTCTTTGGGAGAAGTTGGTTGCAGGTTTAAAATGTTCCCAAAGGGATTGCAGAGAGGCACTAAGACCTACGGAAAATATTCGCAAATACTTGATTGAGCCATCAATAAGTCGAGCTAGGAAACACAGCAGTGGATAATCATAGCCTTTATCTACTTGGTATCCTTCTTTATACTTGTCTTTCCTCAAAAGTTGGATTTGTATATTTCATTTCCTGTTTTGAATAACCTTATCTGCAAAACCACTTATGTCAAGAAGGGAATCACTGGATGAAGCATTATGAAGTTACCAAACAATAGTACAAAGATATTCTTGTGTAATAGCTCAACATACAACATTTATTCAGTAGTCACCAACTTTCCTGCTCTGCTGTTTACACATATCAAAGTTTTATTGATGTTTTCAGTGTTACTGGATCTATCTTATGATATTTTAAGATCCAGTTATCGATCAAAACATATTTGGTAGAAGCTGTATGAATTTTATCGGACTTCTTTAATTAAAGAAGTCCTTTAATTATTAAATTTCTTTAATTAAAGAAAAACTGTCGATTTCTCATGCTAAATTCAAGCGACCGCAACAGAGGGTTGTTGCTGTTTGTTCACTGGATATATGCGTTAGCTGTTGTTCATTAAAACCATACCCATTCTCTCCTGCAGTCACATTGTTGGTCAAAGGTCATGTGTTGTTGTTGCTTTCCTGTTTAATATCAGCATTATGCGCTTTAATTTCATCTTGAAAATTTTCACCTTTTTTCTAAAGAACTGGAAGTAACAACAGATAGGGAAATAAAATTTTCTAGTTGGCCGTGACAAAAGAGTACCTTTTATTCTTTCCAAGATAAAGGAACATTGAAAATCATCGCGTCTTCGTATAGTGGACACATTAATATATGAAGGATTTTCGGATATATCGAAGAGGAGGAAAGTGGTTGAAGGTCGTTCCGTAAATACCATATTGTCCAGTTGGGTATCTTGAATTGAGTAGTAAAGCATGAATTAATAGGACAGAAATGCGAGTAGTTTTAGCGACTGAGATGATGGGACTTTCTGTCACCTTTATGAATGCTACCATCATTAAACTCTAGCGCGATCTTTACTTCCTAGTAAACAACCTATTCCTATTTCACTTCATCTTTTAAAACTTTTTTTTCATAAAGAAAAAAACTGCAAGATTTTCATGTTTATTGAAATTTCGAAAGCAAAGAAATAATTGTCATCTGAACTAGTTCGTCTGAGCCTTTCCTTCGATCCAGTTAAGACGATGCAATGTGGAGAATGATGAAAGGAGAGGCTGAAATGTAAGCTATCATTAAAAAGCCAACTTTGTTGGAAAACGCTCAGTTACTGTGAATTTCGGCCACACTGAACGTTATTCCAAAAGTATTTCTTCATACTCCAAAATTTAACTATTTTAAAACCTCTTTTTACTCATTCTTCTCAAGACTTTACTGCCTTACTCAAAATTCCATTCCCCATAAAATGTCTTCTCTGCTATTCAGTTCACAACTTTCAGTCACTTCTGATATCCAGATAATTCTCTCCCACTTCCATCTGAATAACTAGTCTTCATTCTTACTAAAACATTTTATTGGCTAAGGAAAGAAATACGGAACGTTTTTGTCAGTCGTTCAGACTATTTACTTGAAGTAGTTCTTATTAAAAAAAAATGAATTCTTTAATTTCATTCCTGACTAAGTTTATTTTCGCTTAGAAACGGTTTTCACTACTGATCAAATTAGTTGTTGAAAAAAGTATTTGGAATCTAAAACTTATTTTAATTAGCTCGATCTGACTTAATTCAACTTCGATTTGTTCTGTTGCTTTTATTGCTCTTTCTAAACAAATGGGAGACGTATTTTGACTTCACTAAACTTCATTTGCAATCAAAATATTAAACTGCAAGTGGTGGCGCTTTTTGAAATGAGCAGAAAAAAATATCGGGTATTGTAAGAAATGTTAGCTCACCATAAATAATTTTGGTATTTGTAAACTTTCCCAGTAAAGATTTTCAGCATTCTTCAACCAGCAAATTTGTTTGACGAAGTCAAATGTCTTTTAAAATGGCCGTATGAAATCTGCCAAAATTCCTAGCGTGTGTTTCTTAAAACTAGTTTCTGTTACAGGTTTTTTGTGGAAGGATCGGAGCGATGATGGGATAAAGTATGCATTGCGTAATTGTAAAATACCGCTAGAGAGGGTCGTTTTGGAAACCGATGCACCTTT